AGTGGGGCATGGCCCCAAATCATTTGGGAACCACTGTGTTAGACCATTATTTGCCGCCTAACCTTGCTTCATTTTTCTTCACTCACCTACAAAAAGGTTGAAACCGAATAAAATTCATCAACTACTACATTTTTGTCTCATGGTTTTTTTCTTGCTAACAATCAGGCCAAATAATTATTTTCCTCATTATTAAGTCACAAGTTTTCAACTAGAAGAAGCTGCATCCTGTAAATAAGCTGCAATTCTACAAGAACTCATCCCAGAAATTCAGACAGAAATCATGCTCCTTTTTATTTGCGTTTTTTATAACCCATATCTTAATGGTGTCAGTTTATACTGACAGCTGTTTTTTTTCCATATAATGTTACTAATTTGTTTAAAATTTGTGTATTTCATTAATTTCAGATGGAAACTTGAAAATTTTCCAACATATTTTGGTGAAATATTCACTTCTCAAAATCATAATAAACAAACATTATTTAGATATATAGAAAAAGGAAGGTTTGGTTTGGTTTAATTTTGTTTTACGGCATATCAACCTCAATGGGTTATTTAATGACAACAAAATTTGTTATTGCAGGTAATATTTTTTCTCAAAAATCTGTTTCTGGTAATATTTTTCCTTCAAAATTGTATTGCTGGTAATAATTTTTTTCAAAAAAGTATTGCCGGTAATAGTTAACTATTTGTCTATAACTGGGACCCTAGCAGGTGCTACCACCCCGGGTCAGGGTGGACTTGGGAACACCAGAAATTAAGAGGTGGTTCCACACTCCTCAAAACCTCTTGATCAGAGGCCTTGCTGCTGGAAGTAGTTTATTGTCTTACCCAGGATGTGGATGTAGTTTAACAAAAAAGGAAGGCATCAGTTAAAACTGACAACAGGAGGATGTGGGTTAAAGATGTGACGCAATGTTGAAAAACTTCACTGAATGTCAAAAATTGTCTAAACTCATTCTTTTCACTCATATTCAAAAGTATTCACAAAATGTGTTTGATATTAACATCTAATGATATAAATTGTGTGAAGAAACATACAAGTTGCTGGATTTCTCCTGGATCTTCTAACTATATGAATATATTCTGTTCTTCTATGTCCCATGTCCCTTCAGAATGTGGGCAATCATGGTTCACCACAATTTCCTGTCCTTTATAGCTCTTAGTAAATTTTGTCTTTTCACTATCTCTCCTATTGTTCCGCCAACCATTTACACAAGCTCATTAAGTAGGTTATTCACTGCTTTCTTCTGTCATGCTTGCCCTCAATATGTACCCTAGAAATTTCAACTATCCCTTTCCAATATTAAGTAAAAGTGGCCTTTTTGTTTCCATTTTTTCTAAAACTTTGTCATTACTCACATGTTTGATTCATGGTATTCTCAGTATCCTTCTGTAAAACCATGGCTCTGTTGACTCAAATCCCTTCGTCATCTGTGAAGACATTGTTCAGCATTCACTCTATATTACATATACTGATATTACATAACAGTTCAGTATTCTTTTCTAACAAGATTTTCCTATTTCTTAATACTTTGCTTAGTTTTTGGAAGGTATATTAAATATAGTAACTGTAGGCTTAGTAGTTACCAGAAGGCCCAAATCTGATACCAGTGTTATTGGTTTCAACCAGCCTTTAATCCAATCCTGATTACTATTATTGTTAAAATGAAAAGAAGAAATGTAAGATGATTCTGTGATGAGAATTATGGTATTTAGTTGAATATTTAATATTGTTATTTAAACTATTTAAAAATACATAAAAGGAATTAAAAAGATGAAGAAAAAATTGTGTCGAATATTTAGACATCAATGTTCAACACAGTGCAAAGCTGGACTGATAATGATTGAGTGTTTCTTTATTGGCTGGTTTTATATGGAATTAGTTTTCAGAGGTCAAATATTCATATTTCATCTCTCTTGGTTGTAATTGAATTTAGATTACTGACAATCCTCTTTCACAGATTTATTCTCATTCAGATTCACTTAATTATTTTGATCCTATAAATGTTCACAGTGTAATCTGATATTTCAAAAGGTTATTGTTAGCCCCTGCCCTCAGAGAAAAAAAAATTAGAGATCTTTACTCTCACTAAAAGTTCAAGAATATTCCATCATAGGGCATAACAATAAAATAACAAATTACTAATAGTATCTACTAGTATTATTAATAGTAATAACAGGGTATGAACAATATGACAGGTCATTTTCTTTTTTTTAATCATTTCACCACAAGAAGGCAATAAAGCCACTAAGACACAAGGGGGGTTTACTGAGTGTAAGAGAATATGAGAAAAAGAAAAGGAGAGAGAACAATAAAAGAACAGGAATTAAGACAGCAGAAGATAACAATTGGCATTGTATTTCAATTTTGGAAAATCAAAGTTGACTGGAAAGCAAGAAGCTGGAAGAGAGCTTTACAAAGTGCAAAAGAAACTGTTAGCATAGAACTTATGGTTAAATCTAGTCATTTCAACTGTAAAATGATGAGGTCTTGCCACCAATCTAGTACTGATAAAGTCTATGTACCAAAGAGAAAAGTTTGTCAGGACAATTACCATGAAAATATTTATAGAAAATGCACAGGGAAGCTAAATTACAGCAATGGGAAAGGGATTGGTGCCGAGATGCCAAGTCAGGACCAATAACACTGCACATTCTTTTTTGTATTTTATCAAGAATAGAATACAAGAATGCATAGCAGAAGAACCAAACCAGAAAAGAGGTAACACTTTGTTTTTAAATTTCCTTAAAAATCATTTAATCACCAGTTACTTAACATTGCCTGAAGAAATACAATCATAATATTGAAACATGATTGTGTAGTGATTTCAAAATATTTTTATTATAATCTCTTATAATAAAAATATAATAATAATAATAATAATATATTGCTCTACTTTGTATTGAGAACTTTTTAGAAGTAAATGCTACAAACAGTGGATTTTTATTCCAGCTGTTTTTTTTCTTATATATATATATATATGTGTGTGTGTGTGTGTGTGTGTGTGTGTGTGAAGTTTGACAGCTTATAATTTGGCAAGTCTCTTTTTTTTTAAACATTTTGACCACTTAAATTAAAGTATCACCTAAATATCTAATGCTTTCAACCTCTCATAATTTTGAAGTGTTTCAACCTACAAATTTATTCTTTTTATTGCAACCATAACATTTTGATTGATCCATTGTACAGCCTTCTTCAGATTCATAATAAAAGTGAAAAGTTGTTTTCCCAAAATGATAGCAAACAAAAATAAATGATGGCGAAGGATTTTTTTTAACACTCAAGGCATACATTCATTCATTTCTACGATGCTTTCTAAAAATCAAAAATAAATAAATACATAAAGATTTTTGAATTTTTGAATGGTATAATCTGTAAAAGTAGGGAATAGCTGTACAACTGGGTTCACTAGTATGAATACTTATTATTTTTTTGCTAAAAAGTTCTCAGTTCTCAGCCCAACCCACTTCCCCAAATTTGACAACATGAAAATCAAACATCAACATTTCCAATTTTTTCTTGGTTTTGAACAAAAACTTTTTAACACCCTTTTTCATTTTCTATTTGATTTCTGTTTGTTAACCATAACACAGCAAAAACAGTAAATTATAACATGATTTTAGTTAGTGCAAAAAGCTTGAACTTTGAGAATAAAGTAATTTCTAGTCCAACTTAAAACTTAATAGTGTAGAGTTTTCATTCAGGCTCACCCTGATAATAATGATCTACTTTTTGTGTGTTTGTTTATGTGAGTGTTACAAAAGACTGTTATAACAATAAGGTTGATCAGTATCAAAAGAAAAAAGCTGCTGCAAGAAATGATCGTACCTTCTGTATAATAATGATCCAATTTCTGTAGGTTTCTTACCATAACACAGCAAAAACCAGACACTGTAGTAAGATTTCTGTTTGCACAATACTATTCAAATGAACTAACTTTTCAGTTACATTTGCAACTTAATAATAATAATGATAATAGTGGGGTCCAGGTTCCCATTCAGCTAATAAAATTATGACACAATTTTTCAAGTGTGATAAGTCTAAATATATTAAATGCTAATTCTACAGTCGTTTCCTTGTTTATGTGCTTGTAAATAATTTTCTGTATTATAATGTACCAATTTCTCTTCAGGTTCATCTGACCTGACCTGAAATTCAGTTATACAGAGAGTATTTTTCCTTTAACTATTTATTAGCAGATAATTATAAATTCTATGAATACAGAGTAGGTTGGCATCAAACTTCATCGCTGCGAATGGCAGGCAAATCAGAATAAGAGAAAGATCTTTTAAATTCTCATTATTGATTGATAATGTCATTTTATGCTGATAACTTTTGGGAGGGAAATTTCTTTCGATAGTGTCCTAACACAAATTACATCTTTGTATCACCCTGAGAAATTAGAGAGAGAAAGGCTTATACTGTATTAGCTTTACTTCATATACACTAATGCATATTGTACCAATCCCCGAGGAGGATTAAAGATATTGATGAACTATATCTGAGTAATTATATATATTAACTGAATCAAAATATAATTACAGAGTGAAGGAACTTTTCAGATGAAAGAAAACATTTCAGGTTAAATTGCTTATGTTTTATTAAAACTCTGAACAAGTCACTATTTGTGGTACTTTTTGAACATGGAATAATGATATACTAAATGAAGCAGTTGTAAATGTTATGATCTAACTGGAAAGTTTACAAATTTTGGGGGGTTCATTCATTCATTGATTTTCTATGGCTTATCAACCCTTTGCAGGTTATTTAAAGCCAGAAAATATTTTTAGATAGTAAGAACTTTTTTTGGAGATAATAATGGTTTAATAATACAGGTTTAATTAACCCATAACTGATGGGGGAGGAGAACAGGTGAATTTATACCTTTCCCAAGGGTATCTGCGTGTAAGTGAATATAACAAACCCAAGTGGAATTGAAACTCAACCCTCTAATTAACAATTTTGAGCCATTATCCATCACACCAACTGTACATCCAAGCTTACAGCACTTGGTATACTCAAGCGGTCACCCATCTAAGTACTGACCAAACGTGACATTGCTTAACTTTGATGATCAGACAAGAACTGGTGTTTCATTGTGATGTGGTTGTAAGCCTAAATTTTATTAGTGTAACAGAGAATCAGGTCAGGCTGACAAAAGATTCCAAGTTGGTTGTAGATGTAAGCACCAAGAGTTGTGTCCCCTTCCACAATAGGCTGTTGAGAGAAGACCTTCTACTTATTTGCATATGAACAATACTAAGCAGGTATTAGCCAATAGTCAGCATGAGTCTGGGATTGAGACAGCCAAATAACATCAGTGTTTTTCTCAGTCAAGAGAGGTGCTCTTGACATGCGAATACCAAATGAACACAATTAGGTAACGACTTCTGGAGAAGAGGCAGTTCATTGATTATTTTTTTATGTAAACAGATTAGAATTCTCTTATTCAAAATAAAGAATTAACCTGGGATTTAAAAAAGTCTTAGCAGTTTTGATTAATGAAAACCGAAATTAATTGATTAATATTTTCTTCTATCATAATTGTAGATTAATTAGTGGAATACTGATGAAACTTAAAACCACTCTTTTTGTAATTAAACAATATTTTAATTTTTATTCAAATCATTTGATTAGTTTAGATAAATACAAAGGTCATTTAAAAAGTTCTAAGCCTCACCCAGAAAGAAAAGCTACAGCTAAACATTTTTGTTGTGGCAACACACTAACTACTTCTTATAAAACTAGAAAAACTAATTCATATTTCTATTATAATTTCTGTGCAGGTGAGGTTCATACAAAGGCGTGAGGTGTGTAACAAATCTAAATATGGAAAAAAGTGTCTACAAAAGAAAAGTATGACATGCAAAGAAATCCATGAGAACATGATACAGACACTTGCTGAGGATTCCACTTCCTATACAACGGTGAAGATGTGGGCTGTGGAATTCAAGTGGGATAGGGAAACCTCAACCACTGATGAATAAGTTGATGCTATTCACCATATAATTTTGTATGACAGATGTCTTACTGTCTAAGTCCATAGGCATTAGTTCTGGTTCAGTCCGTATTGTTCAACTGAGATCTTGGGAATGAGAAAGCTGTCTGTAAGATGGGTCCCAAGAATGCTGACCCCAGAGCAGAAGCTGAAAAGGAATGACATTTCCAGGACACCTCTGACAAGCTTCCAGGCTGATCCTGAGCATTTTCACTGCAGATTAGTAACTCAAAATGAAACCTGGGTTCACCACTTTGAACCTGAATCAAAGATTCAAAGCAAATACTGGAAACACTCTGGTTCTCCACCTTCGAAGAAGAAGGCAGTGTCTGTTGGTAAGGTGATGGCTTCTGTTCTTTTTTGGAATTCTGAAGGTGTAATCATGATAGATTACCTGGAAAATGGAAAAACTATTAATGCACAATATCAGAATTAAGACATCTGAAGGAAGCAATCAAATTGAAATGCATAAAGAAGCTGTGGGCAAGTGTGCTCCTGCTCCAGCATAATGCATCTGTTCATACTGCTTAGGTTGCAATAGTTGAATCTGCTAACTGTGGATTTGAATTGCTACCCCACCCTCTTACTAACCAGATTTAGCTCCATCCAACTTCTTCCTGTTTCCTAAATATAAATCCCATCTATATCATTGCCATTTTGGAAACAACGATGAGATGGTGCCATGGAGGAGTTTTTGGAGGACCAGGATGTCACCTTCTTCTGTGATGGGATTGCAATGCATCATTAATGCCAAACCGGACAATATTGAAAAATAGTGAAAAACCATCTTGTTTCTCCAACTCTTTCTGGGTAAGGTTTAAAACTTTTTGAATGACCTTCATAAGTCAGGTTTATACCAAATCGACCTATTTCTATGATGATCCATCAAATGTTTCCTCAAATTGTGGTATATATACGGATCAAATGAGGCACAAATTTGTGAAAACATCTTTAATTTTTAAATTTTCTGTTAACATTTGCTGGCATGAACTTCAAGACAAACCAATCACTTTAAAATCTCATCAATGGTCCAATGGTGACATTCAGTGACTGCATAACAAACATTTTCAAGATTTTCATTGTTTTGCCTTTTGAAGGTCAGCCAGATTGTGGTTGGTCTTCACGTGACATTTTACTCTATTTGAAATGTGAACATCACTCATACATTTCTGTTTTACCTAAGGCTTCTTTCTTCTCTTGGAACATTACAAGACTTTCAGTAGTAGTTTTTCATCCAAACAAAATAAAACTTCATACACACTTTCTGTACATTTTCACCAGGCATCTTGAAAATTGCTAAATGTTTTTACAAAGTCCAGAAAAAAGGAAAACAAGAAGCAAATCAGTTAATCCACAACCAACGATGACATTGTGAGATCTAGCTGCACAATACACAGTTATATCTATTCATGCACCATTGAAAACACACATATATATATATATATTCTGTCGGATCTATATCCATTTACATTTGCTTACATATATATATATATATATATATATATATATATATATATATATATATATATGTGTGTGTGTGTGTGTGTGTGTGTGTGAAAGAGTCTCATTCTAGTGAAAAAATTCTTAAAAAATTTTTTTTTGAATGCTTAATTATTTGGTCATATTTTGAGAAGAGGATATGATCAAGGACATTTAGTTTTCCCTCATGTGTGTGTGTGTGTGTGTGTGTGTGTGTGTGTGTGTGTGTGTGTATGGATAAGGATCAGTCAAAATGTAATGTCTATTCTAATTATTCTATCGGTCAGAATTCTTTAGAAGGTTTTATTTTCACTGTAAAGTGGTAAAAAGCTTAGGTTTAAAATTTACAAAGAGTTTAGATATCTAGGGATAAATTTGTAGAGTTTCCTGCCTTTTTTTTTAATCATTTCACCCTAAATCAAAGCAGGGATGGCACTACTATGCAGAGGGTTACAGAGAGTGAAAGTAAGAGAAAAGACTGGGTATAGAGAGGATTGAGAAAAGGATAAAAGATGAACAGGATTCAAGGAGATAGAAGATGGCAATTGATGTTGCATTTAAATTTTTGAAGATTGTAGTTAACAGGGAAGCAAGTAAACTGAAGGGAATTTCACAGCCAGAAGTGTGAGAAAAGAAACTATATGCAAACTGGGTTCCCAGATTACTGAACATAGCAGAGGGTGGCTATCAGTCTCAGCCTTTCATCTATTTGGGCCTCTAAAGGAGGCACTCAGAGAACAAGGATTCCCCAATTATGACGAGGTGAAACAAGTAATTCACACATGGCCAAAAGAAAAGCCAAGAAACTTCAATGATGTGAGTATATATGAGATATCCTCATTCAAAAATGAAATACCATAATTGAGGTGGCTTTTGTAACCTAATCAATGAGGCCCAATACTTGTCAGCGAGTGTGAGTTCAAATCACTCTGGATGCTAATTCTTTTGACCAATGCTGCTCATATATAATTCAGTGACTTCCATTAGTCCATCCATCCATCCATCTAAAACAGCCATACATTGACTGATAAAAAACAAATTTTGGGGAGAGGTGCAAACAGGTAGGGGGGTACAGTTGTTTTTACCAGGGTGCATAGTTTAGTACAATAAATTTTCATTCATTTTTTTGAGAAAAATTAAGTTTTATTATTTAATATACAAAATACTACCACTATTTTTAAAAATAATTTAGTGATTAAAATAACAAATACTTATTAAATAAAAATGTAATATTGGTTTTTGCATATCTTTTCTTTATGTTTTTATATACAAGAATCCAGTTTCCCGTTTGCCCTGTGTTTGCAAGAACTAGTAATTTTCCAAGCGTAGCTTCGATATGGCACAAGGTCGAAAGTATGGGGCACCCATGAGGATCAAACTCACTACACAGTCATAATTGTTCTAGCAAGACAAGCTTGCTAACCATTACACTGCCTCAAGGTGACCAATGTTTGCAAGAACTATAAACAAATCACAAGGTGAAATGCTTCAAAAAGTTGGGATTTGGCTACAGAAAGAAATATTTACACATGGCCAGTTGTATATTGCATGCTCAAGAGTAAGAAATCCTTTATTCTTCACTGTTAAAAAGGAAAAAAAGAAATTTTCTTAAAATATATTGTTTACCATGGAGTCCTATGGAATTATTTTAAAGAAATTATTAAACCATGAAGTAGGTTTTTCATCAAAGTAATTTTTCAAATTTCATCCAATGGTTTGCTAAATTGAACAAAACAGAGTTTGTAAATCTCAAAAATGTTAGTGATAACTTCAACAATACTAAATGCAGTGAAGATTTCAACATGAATCAGCATCTTGCAAAAAAAAATTCTACTGGTAATAAATTGCAAAAAATGACCAAAGTATTGTAATAAAATGGACCAAAAATAAGATCAAAGAGAAAATAATTGTTTTCTTTTCAGAAAGACTGCCTCCACACCATTTTCAAATAAACTGGAGTGACTTCAGTAAAAACCCCATCTTTATTTGCCAGCACTTTCATTATTGAGGTAATTCTGAAAAAAACACAGCTGCACTGGATAAGCCACATATCAAAGATGGCTAACTATTGATTTGACTGTTTGGTGAGCTGGCCTTTGGCCAATGCAACATGAAAAAGATACAGGGATTTCCTAAAAGGTATTCTCATCTCTTACAGAATTGACGACTACAACTGAGAAGCAAATGCAACTGTTAGATTGATACGATGCCAAAAGATTTTCCAGGTGACCTTCCTTACTGAATCCATTTGGAGAATCAAAGTAGGAGAGAGAGAAGAGGCAGTGCTGTAAATTTGTTTTTTGCTTCTCAGTCACCATTCATTTTGCTGTGGAAAAACTTGCATGTTTTGCTTGGGTCTTTAATAGGCATGTAGTACCATCAAAAATCGTTGTTTCTGAGACAAAACTATGATTATGATATATATATATATATATATATATATATATATATATATATATATATATATATATGTGAAAAGTGTATATAAATATAAATAAATATAAGTATGTATAATTATTTATATATTATATGCGCGGTACTTATTAGAAAGCGCTCAATATCAGAAATAGAGCTAACATATTTGGTTGGACAGATGTGAGTTTGTGACCCTGGGTTTCATGCTTTAGCGATCG